AGGAAGCCTCTCTCAGTCTACAGCAGGGTTTTCTAGAGGCTACATGGCTTGAGATACCAGAATAGATTGAACACTAAAGCAATATGAATATCCAGCTGCCTTTGATTAATCCAGGCATTAGAGATTTATAACAATGTCACCACTCTATTTTTTGGAAATATATTTACTTGTCATAAAAATATATTATTTATGTTAACATGTAATGATTTATTATTATTTTAAAAATGAATTCAAAGTTAATAGTTTATAAAATCTCAGTTTAAATTCTAATATGGCAAATATCAGCAGATATTTCCCACATAAGCAGAAGCTATTTAAGTTTCTCATTTTTAAGAGTGTAGAGACCAAAAATCTTGAGAATCACTGCTCTAGACTTTATTGATTTTCCCCAGTGATTGCTGTTACCTGGTTCCAGTAACTTCCTTTCCTTTCTTTTCCTTCTCTTTCTTCCTTCCTTTTTTTCTTTTCTTTTAAGCAATTTGCTTTTACCTAAATTTTGCAAAGCATTCAATTTAACTTTCACTGAAACAACTCTTGTGTTTCTTTTTGCATTCCTAATAACAGCTGCAGGTACCAAGTTTGTACAAAGGCTTAGGCACAAACACATCCCTATCTTGGTAAGTATCCATCCAATTGCAGGAGAGGAAAGTGCATAGATGTCTGAATGAGAAATGTTCAATGTGTTTCACAGAGGGAAAAAGGAGTGTTGATGGGTCAGGCAAGTGAGTTAAGTGGAAGTGCATAGAGAATGCGTTTACTGTACATCCTTAACCATTTTCATGTTGTTGACAAATTTTTGCTTATATTTTTTAACTTTAAAGAACAAAGCTAAAATCAATATTCTTACACAAAAATCTTTGCATAAATATTTATTAAGATAAATTCCTAGTATAAGAATTAGTATGTCAAAAAATTATGGACATCTTGAAGGTTTTTGGTATATATACTCAAATTGCCTTCTAAAAAGATTGTATAAATTTGTGCACCTACCATTTCTCCACATCTTTACTGATTCAAATAGTCATTAATAAAGAAATATGCTAATTGTATCCCCAAATTATTGCTGTGATTTTCTAGAAGTAATTTATCTGATACAGTGAAATTGGATACCTTAACAATCCTTATTAACAATTTGTATTTCTTTTTCTACGACTTTCCATTTTATATCCTCAGACCATTTATTTAGAGAGGTGTACTAGTCAGGATCCTCAGTTGCAAATGACAGGAACTGATGCCAGTTAACTTAAGAAGAAAAATAACTGGTTGCTAAGGGTGTTGGGTAGGGGTGAGGGGAAGGCTGAGAGCAGGCCTTGGCAGGAGCCAAGGAAGACAAGGCACAATTGCCATCCTGCCACAGAAGCAGTTAAGACACCACAGCTACCAGTGCAACTGCTGGACAATGGTTGGCACCATGATTGCTTGGCAATGAATCCTCTGGCTTCTGAATTCTACCACAGCATCTGTGAATAACCTTTAGTAGATTCTATGCCTTTCTGTCTCACTTTCAAAAAGGGAAAGGCTCAGCATAGTTTGACTGTGTTTGGATCACATGTCCTCCCGCCAGTGTGCAAGAGTGGCAACCCATCCATAAGGAATATCCTCCAGATGGCAGGGGTGTTTGAAGTGGGCTCCTAAACTAGAGAAATCCACTACACGGAGTCTTGTACACAAGGTATATTGACATATTGCCTGTCACATTAAAAAATTATTTTCCCAGTCTGTTTCCTTTTAAATCTTATTTATATTTCTTTTGAAATAGAGAAATTTAGTTTTTTTTAACGTAGTCAAGCCTATTGACTTTTTACATTTTTGATATTTTCCATTACCTTTATGCCTGGAAAATCTTCCCCAATCCTCACATTATATATTATCTATTTTCAAAGGTTTTGAAATAATTTAATTTCTTCAATTTTACATTTACATCTTTAAAGTGTGTGTGTGCATGTGTGTGGTGTAAGGGAAAGATGTAATTCCTGTCTTCCTCTCTGTCCTGCATAGCTATCCTGCTGCACTGTCTGCATAATTCTTTCCCCACTGACTGTGTCAGCACCTTTATCACATGCTAATTCCTTTTATATATCATGTGTGTTTCTAGGCTATTTATTCCATTCCATTGATCTACCCACTGATAGTTTTTACTGTTTGAAACTTTAAAAAAATTGACTGGTAAATCATTCTAGCCATTGTGCCTTTGATAATTTTCCATTTTTCCCACAGTTATTTGTCTGTTCAGATGATCTATTTCTTTTTGACACAATTGATAATTTATATTTTATTATGAAATAATACAGTTCATCAATATTTACAAAATTATTATCATAAAGAATAGTTCTTTTAATCTCTGTTTTCTATATTATGTTTGCCAGACCTTGTTTTCCCAAAGAGCCAGCTTTTGTTTGTATTTATCATTTGGATTCTTCGTTGTTTTCTAATCCTGTAACAGCAGTGATTAAAGGCACAGGTTTTGGAGTCAGATAAACCTGAAATAAATCTTGAGTTTGTCGTTTACTAGCTGTATGATCTTGGACAAATTATTTAATGTCTTGAAATCTTAATTTCTTTACTTATAAAATACAATTAGTAATATCCACCTCTTAAGAATAATGTGAGGGTTCAACAAGATAATTATGTAAGGTATTTGGCTCAGTACCTGACTCATGGCAAGTGCTCAAACATCATCATCAGTGTCATTATCATTTTCAATTTATCAATTATCAGATTAATCAACTTGTCAAATTATCTATTTATTTTTATACTTGATTTAATAGTTCATTGAAGGGTATGAATTCATTCTTGATTGGAATTTTGGCCACCTCCCATATAATTTTTATTAATACTCTTAGTCATATTTCTTAGGTATATTATTTCAAATCTAAGCCTATAATTAAGGACTTGGTTTTCTTTGTAACAGTATAGGAGAGTGTTTTTAAAAGTTCAAAGTTATTGGTTTTTCCCATTTATTATTTTGTTTGTTTAAATATGTATAAAATTTAATTCACTTAGTTTTCGGTGGGCTTCTTTTAAGCAGCATAGAGTTGAATTTTATTTCTGAAACCAGTTTGAAATTATTGGCCCTTTTAAATGAGCTGGTTTAACCCATTTACAATTTTTCTCATAACTTATATGTTTTGTCCTCTTTCTGACATTTTGCCATTTCTTTATCTTTTGTTTATTTGCTCTATGTAGTATGTTTTATTTACTTACTTTAAAATTTTACTTTTATTTCTCTATTAAGGTAATCTTGGAGATAATCTTATTATTTTAAAATTTATCATTTTAAATATATAAAATTTAAATGTTATACATTTTTATTGTATTAAAACACTTTACATTGGTTACCTTTAAATTGTTTAACGAAATATTCCCTATAGTCCCCAAATTTTTAAAATCAAGGATCAAACCACAGTAACTTCAAAATACCCTTATATATGATCAGAAGCTTAGTATAATTTTATTCTTTCCTCTATCACTTCTGCATCTTTGTTAATATAAACTTAAGATTTAAGACACATATTATTGCTATTTTTTATATAACTTTTTTCATTTATGGATATTTTTTGACATTTGCTTTCTGTTCTTAACAAATTTTGCAACGATTATTTAATGTAATTAAAATGTGTAACTTCTTTCACTGCTCATGGCTAATCCTTCAAAAGCACAATAGTTTCAGTCTTATGCTGTTTATTTCAAATCATCTCTCAGTCAAAAGGAGTGTGTCTTTTTTCAAAAAGGTTTTGGGAAATTATTTTCTAAACACTTTTCATATCTGAAATTGACTTTTCTGGGTTTTTTTGTTTTTGTTTTTGTTTCTTTTTGCATTGGAAAGATGACTTATCAGGACATTACATTCTGGATAGAAACGTTTTCTTCAAAAATTCTGTAGATGTCCTTTTTGTCTATATGGAATTTACTATGGCAAATGAGAAACCTGGGGCTTGTTTATTCTTTTAAGAATAAACTTCTCCTCTGCTTGCTCCCTTGCTTATAGGCTACTTTCATTCATCTGTGACCTTCAGAAGTTCTCAGAGTTGCTTCTAAATTATGTCTTACTATATTCCTTTTGCCTGGAATGTAGTGGTTTCTTGATCTGCATATTCTAACATTTTTTAAGGTTAAAAATGTTTAATTTTTCTGTAAGTTTTTCTTGAAAAACATGTACAATTTTTTGATTTTCTATGCATTTTTATCTTCTTTTTCATTATTTTCATCTTTGTTATTTTCTTCTATATACCATAAGATTTCCTCAGGTTGGGCTCCTACTTTAGGAACTTGGTTATCTGATTTATGTTCCACAGGACTTCAAGGGCAGATTTTAATTCTATCATTGCAGTTTGGTTTTACATCAATCCTTTTTATTTTTTTTTGCAAGTTAAAAATATGCATTGTATTTTCAAATCTGCCATCTCTTAGGCCCATTAAAATTTGTTGTCATTGTGGTGGTGGTAGTAGTTAAAAAAAGCCATAACATTAATGATTTTTAAGTGTGTAGTACAGTATTATTAACTATATGCGTATTGTTGTCACACAGATTTCTAGAACTTTTCATCTTGTATGACTGAAACTCTACACCCACTGACAACTCCCTGCTTCTCCTTCTCCCAGCCCCCTGGTAACCACCATTCTCCTCTTTGCTTCTATGAGTTTGATTACTTTAGGTACCTCATATGAGTAGAATCATTTAGTATTTGTCTTTTGTGATTGGCTTATTTCATTTATTAATATCCTCAAGTTTCATCTATGTAGCATATGACAGGATTTCCTTCAGTTTTAAGGTTGCATAGTATTCCTTTATACATATATACCATGTTTTGTGTATCCAGTCATCTGTTGATGAACATTTGGGTTGCTTCCACCTCTTGGTTACTGTGAATAGTGCTGCTATGAACATGGGTATACAAATATTTCTTCAAGATCCTGGTTTCAATTCTTTTGTATATATACATAGACCTAAGAGAGAGATTTGTGGGTCATATGGTAGTTCTATTTTTAATTTTTTTTTGGCTTGTAGCAAGTATTACTGTCAAACTCTACTCATCCCTTGTGATGTTAATGAAAAACCTGCCCCTCATGTAGCACACTACCTATACTTGTGAGTTCATCAGCCAACCAGTGGCCTCAACTTCAAACTCTAACAATGTGCAGTATTTTTAATTTTCTGAGGAATCTCTGTACTGTTTTCCATAGTAGCTGCATCATTTTATACTCCCACCAACAGTTCACAAGTATTCCAGTTCCTCTAGATCCTTGCTAGCATTTATTATTTTCTGCTTTTTGATTGAGGCCATCCTAATGGGTATGAGGTGACATTGCATTGTGGTTTTGATTTGCATTTCCCTGATGATTAGTGGTGTTGAACATCTTTTCATATGCTTCTTGGCCATTTGTATATTTTCTTTGGAGAAATGTCTATTCAAATACTTTGCCCATTTTAAATTTTTATTCTTTTGTTGTTATTGAGTTGTAGGAGTTCTTTTAAAAAATTAATTAATTATTTATTTTAATTAAAGTATAGTTGATTTGCAATAACATCAATCCTTTTTTATCTCACACATTTCTCTTTCCATCTTACCTTGCTGTCTCTTTCTTGTGACCTGTTCTCTTGTCATGGGTATCTACTCCTTTTCCATAGAGGCCATTACTTCTTGAATTCCACTGATGATGGAAGAACTTTCTCTGAAAATGTCTTCCAGGTCCTGTGATAAATCATTTTCAATGTCCGTGCTCCCTCTGAGTCTTTAGGATGATATTCTTTATCTCTATTTCTGTATCATTTATCAAAATGCATTTGTTAGTTATTCTTGTCATTTTTCCTAATACAGGAGATCTAGCCCAATGTGGTATTTCCAGCAGATTGTACTTCCTGTTCACGTGAATATGGGTTCATTTCCCTTTACAGAGCTACATCCAGAAGGCAAGTTGATGTCCAAAGTTAACTAGCTCACTTTCTGGTTTTTGACTTGCTTTCATTCCGTGTCAACCCAGTATTAGCTTTTTCCTGCCTCATTGCCTTTGCCTTTCTTTCCTACACAAAATTTGTAATATTCAGTATATATGGTAGCCAGAGATTTTTTTTGTTCTCTCTTCTCTTATATTGTGCTTTCTTCATGGGGACACCTTCCTGGTTCCCCCAAACTTGCTTCCTTATTCCCTCTTGCAGATCAGTTCTTTTCTGAGTAGCTGCCCTGACTGTTTTTATGGAAAAGGCTGTGGCTGAGGGGTTGGATATGGAAGGAAAATAACACTTCAGCTTAAAAAGGAGCACTTATATAGTAGAAGAATGGCTTTCTGATTTAATGAGCCAGGTGGCAGACAGTGGGGAAGGTATAATGGGCCTTTCTAACTTCAGACAGGTGGGCTTTCTCTAAGTCTGGTGGCAAGCACAGGTGGGCCACTAATTGCCTTTTAAAATTCAGGTTCATTGACCTTACAGTTAGTGGTAAGGAGTTGACTATCAGTCTCAATTTTTGGTGGCAATGTAAATATTTGTCTTTTAGTGAATGTGTCTTTTAGCATGTGTGTGTGTTTTAGTGGAAGAGACTATATCAGGGCTATTAGCCAGATGCCATTTTAAATTGGAGCTCCTTAGGGTCTTTTTATTTTAAAAATTAATTACCAGGTTGCTTTTATATACCAATTCATGTGGCATATGTGATATATAAGTGAAGAGCTAGAAGATGCCCAGTGGAATGAAGAGAAAAGACAGATTTGGGAATTGTGCTTTGTCTCTTACCTCTTTACCTCCCACTCTCCAAAGGTCCCCTGGTGCCCCATGACTTCTTTGTTCTCACTTCTCGCTTCCTCTTTTTCCCAAGCTTGGATTTAAACTTTATAGCCATTCTTTCGGGTTGACGTAATACAGGCATTGTATTCATTTTGTTGCTGCCTGCCTGACCACCCTGATTTTATTCCTCAAGATCTTGATGGGCCTTGATGATCATGTCCTCAATCCCGCAGAAATGGTATATGCTGAGTGCATTAGCCTTTCCTCCCACCCTTTAGAGAGGACCAGTGGGTCAGCTGGCACCTCAGTTAGAAGGCCGTGAGAGGAGGCAGCTGGAGGAATGACTGCATTGCTCCCCAATAGCTTGCAGATTCAAGACTGACCCCACTTTGATGCACAGGTACAGCTTTTTCACTGGCAGAGGATTTAGAACTGTTCCACAGGTGTGATTGCTGCTGCTGTGATTTCCAGCCTGGTGGCGTGGCCTAGGCTCCCACTTTATGGGAAGTCAAAAGCAGAAGCCAAGGACCAGCTTCTACTTGTTGCACATCAGGTCAGAATGGGTAAACTCGCAGCACAAATGTCAAGTGTTTTCATCTTATTGGTTAAAGTGACAAATTGCTGTCAAATATGTTTAAAATAACCTTTAAAAGAGCAAAAATTCAAATCTTGTAAGTGAAGGCACGGGTCACCATTAAAATTCCCTTTATGATCCTGATGTTGAGGGTCTAGGTTGTTGTCATATTTCAAATATGTTAAGGGTTTAATGTACCAGGGTCCATAGATAAATCCCATAATTTCTCTTCTTTTACATTTCCATATTTTTTATAGCTTTTGCTAGCATGAATATCATCCTCTATAAAAGCAGAGTAATTTCAAGAAATATCATAAAGCCTGTATACTTCAACCATACTTTATCTTTTTATTGGGTTGTTTTGTTATACCTGGTAAAAATGCACTTGTACAGTAAAAACAGGAAGCAAGAAGTGTGAGCGTATCAGAGTATCAAATAATTTTTCCAAATAATCTTTTACCTTTCATTGTCTTTAAAGAAGGGATAAGAACACTAAATTATATGTATTTTAACCATGTGTTATTACTTGAATAATACTTTCTTTTTTTTTTAAAATATACTGTTTTGGGGGGATGCTAAACTAATTAGATGTATTTGGTATGTTAAAATACGTAGGAAGCATTGCCAAATAAGAAGTACTTTTAATGGATACATTGTAAACTATGTCTGCACAACACCAAATAAACAAATCTCTACAGAGACTAAGATGAGTTGTCTAAAACACACCAAACACGTTGTCATTCATTTTGTATGCCCCAGTGCCTTGCACATAGACATGTTAAATAATTATTTGATAAATGAATGAATATTTGGTGTGTTGCTAATATAACTTAGATGACTAATACTGGATAACATGAGATTGGAAAGGTAAGAATGATCATATTCATGGTTTGCAGGTAAAAGGAGTAAGTTTAGATCATAAGAAATCAGGAAATCAAATTGTGCAGTTTAATCTGTGATGCATTTAGCTTTTTCCTGGAAGTGATGGCCTTGCATAGACATGGGCTGGGAACCCCATTCTGTGCCTCTACTGAGGCTCCTCTGTGCCCAGGCTGGAGGTTTTTGTCCTTGAGGGAGGCACACTGGGACATCCCTGGGGTGTGTAGTGCTTTCTGGCTCCCTTATGATTCTCTCATAAGGGAGTGTATGGGCATAAACAATTATGCCAGCAGAGTTGATCAACTAGCAGTTTAAAACTATATTTTACTTGTTTTAAATAAAACAGGTTAGCTGGTAGACATTTAACATTTTTATTTGGGTTGCTCTGGTATTATAGAAATATTCCTTTAAAGTAAATGCTGAGAAGCCTGGACTATGGCCATAGGAGGCTGGATGCTGTGAGTCACTGAAACACAAACTAGTTGTTGGAAATTCAGAGGATCCAAAGTACCACATTTCCCTCTCCAAGCCCATAAGATGCATGACTGGTGCCCTGTCAGCTCAAAGGGAAGAAAGAAGCTGTTTGAGTGATAAAATAAGGGCAGCATAATTCTTGAATCAAATAATATTTGCTGAGTACCAATAAATGATACATTTGTATAACACCTTGAAAGTATTTACTTGATCTTCACAGCAACAGAAAGTTGGCAGGGAGTGTTGTATTTCTGATTTTTATAAATAAAGAATTTGAGGCTCAGAGAATTTAATTGACTTTCTGAAAGTCACAAAGCTACTATTTGGTAGAAGTGGAACCAGGTTTCAGTTTTGTTCATTTCTAGCCTTATATTTTTCCTTTGCTCTAATATAATATTAATAATACAAATGTGCTATCCAGCATTTATTGAATCAGACATAATTTACTCCTCATAATCTTGTTTTCTCCTCACAATAGATCTATAAAGTAAGGACTGCCATTATCTCCATTCTACAGATGAAAAAACTAAGGTACAGGGTCTACTCTGGGAACTCACCAGGATCTTGTGGGAACACTCTGGGATGAATAACACAAAACTTGGTCTCAAGGAGTTTATAATCAAATCAGGACAATAAACTGTGCATGTGTAAAATATAATAATAATAATAATAATAATAATAATAATAATAATAATAATAAT